TTTCATTTAAATATTAGTTTGTTTTTTAAAATTTAACCCTAAAATTAACTTAATTAAGCAGCACATGATATATCAATATGATTTTCCCACATCCATTAATGGATTGGACTACATTGACATAATTTTCAAGGTATAGGGTTTACATAAAAAAACTAAAATTTTAAGGGTCAAATTAAATATTAGAGCAAAGTTAAAAGGTCTAATTAATAGTTCATTCAAATTTAAAATAGATCTAATGTAAATAGAAATGTTTATTGGGTTGACTTGTTTTTTGAAAAATATTAAGGGGAGGTCAATATAATTATCCTTAATATAATGGCCCTATTTGGTATAGATTATTAAAACTTAAAATGTGATAGCCAAAAAATAGAAGTTAAAGCACCTCTCTTCCAGTTTCCAGATAATTAGCTTATTTAAGCTATTTCTGTCTAATAAATTATAAGCAGAAGCTATACCAAATAGTCTAGCACAGACTCTCAAATTAATATAAGCTATAATCACCTCTTTTAAGGGGGGATTCTATTTGCACCCAAAAAACATTAAGTATGCCAAATTTCTCAATACACCATATTAAATTATTTAGGATTATAATTTACTCTCAATATACCCAATATTATTCCTAAATTACCCTTCACGATACATCCAAATAATAAACAAATCAAAAATCCTAAAATAAACCACTTTGAAAAGCACAATGCCTCTACTATGTCAATATCAATTAAATTAAATCCATTAATATTAACTATAGATATGGTAAATGGGGTCAAGAAGGTGGATGAGAGTATGTGTATGCTTATTCATGATTTGCTTTAGTTAGGAGTGTTACCGGGTGTGCTATAGCAGAATAGTTGGGAATAAGGTTGCTCATTTGGTGGCTAAGTTTGGGATTAATAGAAGTAGGTGATGTACTTGGGAGGGTGTCCCTCTTTCGCGGTTGTTGGGCCCTTTGAGGAGTGAGGGTGATTTTGTGTATTGTGTTTCGACTATCTATAATATTTTCCCTATCGTTATAGCGGCTTGGGTTTAGACCCGATCCTTTTATGTGTTCGGTATTGGGTTGGTGATTTTTTTGGATTGTATTGTCTCTTCTTTGAGTTTATTTGTCACAGGGAACTTTGGTTTGTACTTAATGCATTGGCATAATTTTTCCCCTATTTACAAGGTTGCACCAATGACCATTTCTATCATGCCCACGATGGCACTAGGTTGCTTCCGCGAGAGGCCGCGACTAATTATGGCCTTCAAGTTTGTTGGCCTAGCAAAATTGGGTGGCCCACAGTGGAAAATAGCCCTAGATTTGATTACTCACTTGTATTACCAAATTCTTTACAAACAATCCATTTTCCAATAATAGTTATAGTAACACCACAAGCTAAATTGAATAAAAAAGGTTCTCTTTCGCATAATTACAATGAATGAAATGTTGAATACAATTAATAATACATGCCCCAAGGGCTTACATTGAGGGTTTCAATTATACGTAGTTACATAAAAAGAAACACTTCTCATTTCAGTCTTTCAATCACTCGTTTACACTATACACCGCATGAACTCCTAACAAACAAATAAATTCTTGATCTTCAACTGTTACACTTGATTTTGTTCCTGTAAAATGGTTAAACAACATGGGTTGAACACTAGGTCCATTAGAGATCTACAATGAGTCTTGAGAATACGAGCAAGATATATGTGATCATGAATGTTAAACGGGTAATACATAAATAAATAATATGCCTTTTATATCCAAAATAAAGTACACATAAGTAATACATTCCTCATGAGAATTCCACTAACCTTTCAAAGAAAACTCATTCTTTTATCTTCTTACCCTTCTTGTATAATTTCAAACAATTTTCTTAAAAACCGCATTTTAACATTTCATAAGGATCTTAGGTCTATTAACCATGTATTACTAATGCGTAATCTTTAATTCACAACTAACCATCACCCTACCATAATCCGCATAACTTCAAAATATATATACATATATTCCAACACATATCACATAATTAATCCATATAAAACAAATCAATTCAATTTCATCTTTTCTGACTCACATAGTTCAATTCTCCATTTCCAATTATTACATTTACACATACAAATCCCCTTATAATTATCCCACAAAAAGTTCATTGTCAACAATCGACTTCATTACCAAGCCATACCAACAAACCACACGCTTTTCCAAGCGCTACTCTAGAAGGAAGGTGAAACCTCTATCAAGCGCCATGCTTTACCGATCATAAGCCGGAAAGAATGCGGAACCTCACTCAAGTGCCAGGCTTTACCGGTCACAAGCCAGAAAGAAACGAACCTTTATTTCAATATCAGCATCTATCAGTTTATCATATCAATTAATAAATTAAACGAACAACACAATGAATAATAAGGAAGTATTTGGGATACACAATATAAGTACACTTTTTATCTTTTTATCTTTTTTGGATCACATTACTTCTCTATTTTTTTGCATATTTTTTCGTAAAAAGTTAAAAAGTACACTTATTTAGATCATCCCAAACAACTCCTAAATATAAAACTCCATCTTTAGCATTCAATGCAATTTGTACCCCACAATATTCCATACTTCTCAACATCAATTCCTTTTTGTTGAATTTATATATCCCAATTAATGTCATATACACCTTAATGCAATGAACCAATTTCCAAAATTTGTTTTCTTTGATATAAGTCTCGTATGTAATAATCATTCTTACAATAATGATTAATCACCCTTCATACTTACTTTAACTCATCATTTACTAAATTTCAAGAATTGAAGGTCAATTGAAATAAATAATCATTTTAAAAATAAAATTCATAGCTAGGGTTTGACAAAATTAGGGTTTTTTTACTATAAGGCACAAAATCAAATTCCAGTTGTCCACAATTTCCGTAAATCCAATAAATAAATTCAACTCTCTTGATTTGGAAAACCCTTACTTCATCTATACGCTTTTTAAGAAAATCCCTCAACATGATATTTTTATGCAATACAAACATACCACTCATCTATCTATAAGAAAATATTGTAGGAAAGAGAAGAAATCCCTACCTCAAGCTAGAAGAGGAAGAAATCAAAAATCCAACTTCAATGAAAATATGATCCACTCAGATGGATAGAAAGCCCTCGTTGTGCTCTTCGTTTTTGTATAAGGAACATATGGTAGGAGATTAGTAGAAATAGATGAAAACCAAGCTTTTATGGGCTTGGAACTCAAAAATGCCTGAAAAGAGAGAGAGGAGAGAGAAAGCATCTGAATGAATGAAAAAAAGTGACCCAAATGACTTTTTAAAGTGTTGATCCCGAACAGACCGCTTGAGTGGTGAACGCAATCTCTCAGAAGTTTTGTAGGTTTATAGTGAAAATACTGGGAGTCTCGCATCTCCGCTCAAGTGACCACTTGACCGCTCGAGCGGTCACACTAAACACAACTAGTCACACAGCACAGTTTCTAAGGCACTCCAAGCACATCAACCTTATTTCCATATGTAACCATTTAAGTAAATACTTTCATTTAGCCATTTATATTTTATTTACTTATTAAGTTTAAAATGTAAATAAGGAAATACCCCCCATTTGGATTCAAAGAAAAATACAAAAAAATAAAAATGCAATTAAATCAAAAAGTGACTCCCCTAGTTTTAGTACGAAAATAATTTTTCAATTAAAATTTCTTAGTTTGACGTTGAAGTAAAGTGATTAATACCTTTTAGAAAAATCCCATGAAATTAAATTAGACTATTTAATGTATAAGGAACAATTACTGCCAAATATTATTTTCAAAATTGCAAGTTTTGAAAAATGAAATTTTTTTACATTTAGAAAATTTTTAGACTAAGTCTAATTTTTGTGACAGAAAACTTGGATCTCTACCCGAGCCATTACAAATGATTATTACTCTTGTTTCAAACTTCAAAGATAGTTGATTCGAAAGCGTTGAACTGTAGACGATGGTGAAATCCTTCAATATCTTCAAATTTAATGACAATGGTGAGCTTCAATCTTTGATTCTGGTATGTTTTCAGCTTTGAACCGGGATTTTGGGTGAAATTTCTTAGAGAGGTTTCTTAGAGAGATGCTTTGTGATTAGAAAGAACGATCATGTTCTTGTCTGTGTCAACTATTTCTCTCTCTCTCTCTATAGATATATAGAAGGGTATTTTGGTCTATTTACTCTATTTTCAAATACTTACCCCACCCCACTTCCTCTTCGAGGCAAGAAAAATTTGTGGAAGACATGGCGGAGGATGCGAGAGTGAAGCAGGGCAGTGGAAAATGACCATCCCTCACTCTCTTTTTTTTCTTCTTTTTTTTTTGTTTTTTGTTTTTTTTTTTTGTAGATATCGCAGTCTTAAGGAGGAGTCATCCTTTTTATTTTTTAAAATTTGTAATCCAAATACAATGTTAACCTTCTACTAAGCTATATTGAAATTAGTTAGTTTATTTTTTTCAATTGTCTGAGTACTTTTATTTTTTTATTTATTTTTATGGGCCTTTCGAAGGCCCAAAATGCTCTATGATCTCAACTAAATTGCACTGAGTGAGGCTTAGTTGGTTTGCTTAGTTTAAAAACAAAAAGTTGTGAAAAACTAAGGAAATATGGATATTACTAAAAACAAAATATATAGAGAAATTAGTTTTTCAGAAACTGTCAAACATGGAATTTATTGTTATGTCTTATGTCATCGAATTGAATAAACAATCCCTCTATTTTTAAGATAAAATCAAATAATAAAATCACTGTTTCACCTACTAAGCAGTAAAAATATTTACTAAGCCTAATTTATTGTTATTTTATCGAATATCTTATGTCATCGAATTGAATAAACAATCCCTCTATTTTTAAGATAAAATCAAATAATAAAATCACTGTTTCACCTACTAAGCAGTAAAAATATTTACTAAAGTCTAAGGCTACACATAAGCAACTACATAAGCGTGGTCAACCACATATGGTTCAACGAACCATTCTGTCATACATAGATATAATGTTTTTTAAACAAACATATGAAATCATCACATAATTTTATACCACCAAGAATTCAAATAAAGAATCTCCACATAATCTATAATATTTCACTCTCCTCCTCTCCATGTTTCAACTTTTCTTTATTACTTCAAACTTTTTACTCCAAAACAGTTCATTTTTAATTCACTTTGGTCCATATTAAGGTCAACTTCTTCATCAGATTCTTAGCATATAACTCTTTTGCTTCTGTGAAGAAACATATACTTATTTATACCTTAAATTCTATATAAGCTCTCTCTAGCTTTCTACAGTGAAGAAAGAAAGTGAAGCAAATCAATGGGGGCTGAGAAGAAATTGTTCAGTTTTGCAGAAGTTCATCCGCACAACGTCGCTGAAGACTGTTGGATAATTATCAATTCCAAGGTAATCCATCTAAATTTCTCATAAACTTGTTTTTGATTTCTTGTATGGTTTATTCTTCTTGGTCAGATTAAAAATTTCATATTTATGTGAATTGATTTGGTGTGTTGTTTTGATTCTATATGTGAATTGATTTGTTGAGTTGGTAATTTGAATCTTCTCCAACTTTTCAACTTTATGGTTATGGTTTTGATATCTCTTTCTCTCTCATATGGGTGTTCGACTTCTGAAAAATACTGAAATTTTATACGATTTTTTTTTTATCAGAATAATATAAGGATGGCATTTCAGTAATTAAATGTCAAGCAGAAATTCCAATATAGTCATATAATTTATAATTCTCTATACAAATTATATAAATATATATATTGGGTTGGCTTTTGATCTTGTAACAAGGTACTGATTTTGGGAATTGCTTTGTAATGATTTACTCGAATGTTTCAACCTTTCCTTGCATAAAAGTGAACTATGATGAGCAAAAATTAAAGAATTGATGTAAGTTGGGACTTGATTTGTGCTAGAGTTAATTATGCTAAATTGTGTGGAAAATAAAGTGAAAAAAAAGGTAAGAGAAAGAAGAAAAAAATTAATTATAAGTTGGACTTAAATTTGTCTAGGCCACCAATCCACTCTATGATCTTCTTAATTTCAAAGCAAAATATACAATTTTCAAATGCAGTTCTTTGTAATCTTACAAGGTTTAGACAGATTTGTCGTCTTCCTCTATTGTCGAATATGCAATTATTGTTATTTTCTATGATTGTTGTGTATTTAAGGGAAACTTTTCCCTTTGTTAAGATATCACTTGTTTCTCATAGAGTTATTTTTCCCTCTTTTGTAAGTTTCTTTTGAAACATCTACGACAAAGTTCAAGTCTCCCTCAATTATTAGCAAAAAATGAGCTAATACACAAAAGCGATTATCTAACAATCTCTCAAGATGATAATCTTTATAACAAGATCACTATGTACTCAGAAACAATACTAAAAAGAAGTTCAAAATTTCAAATGTGTGAATTAAATTAATCATGAATTTAACCAAGTTTAATTCTAAGCCATACATTTAAATTATGTACGCTTCTTTTAAATATTTTTCACATCTATAGTGGATAATAATTTTCATATTACAGTTGAAGATCCTATATTTTTGAGGTTATATATGGAGTTTGTACAAGGACTTTGATGGTGATATTCTAAGTCCTTATCAATTTCTTGCTTTTAATAATATTAATGGAGCACCTAGCATCATATGTTTTGGAGGTGGTTTTAAATTTTATGAATATACTTTGTTGGTAGTAGTTGCTGAGTACTATTTTGATAGGTACTTTATAATGGTCCAGTTTTAGGTCCTTATTGATGTGGTCCATAATATCAGACAAAGACAAAATCACCCAAGAGGCCAAGCCAAAATTAGATTTTGTATAAACTCCTCATGACTAAGCTAGGTAGACGAGGGCTCCACAGTCCTTGCATTCTACATATTCTTCAATATATTATTATTAGATTTAAAAAAAATTATATAAATGATAATCAACTTATTTTATTTATTTTTGCCTGATAAGTTGTGAGCAAAAGTTGTACCCAATACAGACTCTTAAAATAAAATAAAATAAAGCTATAAGCAGCGTAGATAAACTACACCAAACAGACCCTCTAATAAAAGAATTCTTTGAATAAATTGTAGAAAAATTAACATTTTCTGTTATATGGAAGTTTTAAAATAAGTCAGAATGCACCTTCTACTTTAGAAATATAATTTGGGTACTCCCATTTGTTTCAACATTTTTATAATGAAAAAAATCATCTTTATTTAGAACAGAGAGAGACGTCTGGTTCGGTCTGTGGTTCTACCATGTATTTTGTAGACTCTTAGGTGTGGATCATTTACAAAAAAATTTATATTGATTTGATAATCTAGTTCTATTTTTTTAAAAATAAATCTTGATAATCATAACTCTGTTTTAAAAATAAACAAATTTTATAAAATTATGTGGTTATAATTATTAGATTTTTTTTTTTTTTTAAAGATAAATATTATATTATATTTAATTAGAGTGAGATCAGAGTTGAAAAATTAGTTATTTCCCACTAGGTGAGTGCCTGTAGTAGTTTGTAAAAGGTTGTCCGGCTTCCCACCGGCTACATACCACTCAGGATTAGTCCTTCCTTTAAAATCAGAGGGTTAGGAATACCTGAGTTATCAAAAAAAAAAAAAGTTGAAAAATTAGTTTTTCGATAGAGAGACATTATTTATTCCAATGAGTATCAATTAGTCTCTTTCATTTTGTGGGATATTTAGGATTTTTTTTTTTTTTTTGGGTCACCTTTCATATGAAACCTTTCACATCAATAGCCCCTTTTTTTTTTTGGCTAAAATATGAGGTGAAAAAAAAAAAAACTCAAATGTTTAGAAATAATTTTTGATGAAAAGAAGTGCAAAAAACAGAGAATAAGATAATTAAATTTTTACTTTTTTGTATGACTTTCAACTTTTTTACTATTTCACTTATCAAATGTAACCTTAGTTTCATCCGACATCTAATCATCCACTTTGGCCAATCAAATGTGGGATTATAAGGATTAGGAAAAAGGACAAGGGATAAATGGGCTCAAAAGCCTATCGCTGACACTACACCAAACAATTGCATTCCATTCATTTCCCTTCTCCAAATGTGACTAGCAATGGAATTTGTAAGCGAAACCATGAAACATTTTGAAAGCATTTTGTTGCTAAGCCTGGCTTTATTTTTATTTTTTTTGCACTTAAAATTGAGATTAATGCAAAGAATAAGCCAACAGGGAGTTTTTTTGATAAATTCATTTTCTAAGAGTTTTATTCCATCCAACCCATATTCTTTTTGACTATTCCATTAGGTCCAATTTGATATAAGAAGACTAAAATACCCTTTTCATCTACTTATGTTCTATTTAGTTCACATTATTTTCTTATGTTTCAATAAGTCATATGGGTGACATAATTACCAAAATACCCTTAATGTGAATGTTCACACCGTCAATATAAATGTTTATATCGTCAATGTATAGGGGCCTGGCTCATGTCGATCCTCGTGGGTGCCCGGAAAAATTCGAGTCGGACCGGGCCGGCCCACAAGCCAAAAAAATAGGCCCGACAAACGAGTAAGAGAATGAATTAGAAAATTAAATAATATAGAAATATGTAATATTGAATATATAGAAAATTATATATGTGAATTTTCATACTATTATTATCAAATAGGACAAAATAAAAGCCATTTATATATGTTTTTGTCATAAATTACCATATATTAATGTAGAAGAAAATATGAAAAATGGTTTAAAGAATTGGGCGATAACGTGCAAGACTCCTTAGGTCATAGAATTAGGTATCTTAGAGAATGGATAGAATAAGAATGCTTAAAAATGAAACAAAGAAGAAAAATAAAAAAATAATATTTACATTATTGGCAATCAACTAATTCATGGGGTTGTGAACCTTAAAGAAAGAAAACATATTACAAGAAAAAGAAAATGTTTTATAAAAAGAAAAGTTTTAATAAACAATGAGGAGAAAAATATTAAAGAAAATATTATTAAAAAAACCTTTTAATTTTAGTAAACGAAGAAGATTGTTTAGGAAAAATAATTATTGCCCAGAAGGTAAAATGGCTTGTATATATTGGGCGTGTGGTAAAGTAAGGCATTATGCAAATCAATGTAAAAATAAAAAGAAAGATAAAATAATAGAAGCCTTAGGAAATTTAGATTATATTGAACTAAAGAAGAAGAAGCATTAAAATTAGTATTAGAAAATATTAAAGGGATAGTAGAAATAATTGAGGAAGAAATAGAAGCAGATGATGAAATTAAAAGTGAAGATTATAATAATTCTGATGAAGAATAAACTTTATGATGACTGAAAATAAGCATAGGAGAATTAAGAGGAGAACAATTCGTAATAGAAGATTCTCAGGGAAAAAATGAGGAAGTAAAGATTGGATATTATTGATAATATATAAAGAAGAAATATATCAAAAATCAATTTTTTATTTAAAAAGTAAATATATAGAAGGATACTTAGAAATTAGATATTGTGAATATGATATGAAATATATAAATTTAATAAATTATGGAAATATATTAAGACATAATAAAGAAGGTAAATATCGATCTCTACATCGATATCTACATATAGGTAATATACAAATACAAATTACGCCATTATTTAATAAACGACAAAACATATATATATATATATATATGCATTTCTATGTGATATTAGATAAAGAAATTTCGAAAGATTGATAATTAGTAGAATAAAAAGTAATTTATGTAGAGGATCAGTAGGATTCAATTGTAGACCTGGATATTATGTTAGTTTAAAAGATGGGTTTGTTACTGGGCCGCAGGCGAGTTTCCCGCCGCCACGGGACGGGGGCCAATTTTACACTCCTATCAATGTGAATGTTAACATGTCAATGTGAATATTCACATTGCCAACGGGCCGGGCCCGCCCTGGCTCGAGGTCGGGCTTCGAGCTGCCCACGGGTCACGGGCCAATTGTACACTCTTATCAATGTGAATGTTAACATGTCAATGTGAATATTCACATTGTCAACAGGCCAGGCCGGGCCCGTCTCGGGCCACCCACGGGCCGTGGACGGGTTTCGGGCAGCCACGGGGCGCGGGCTAATTTTACATTCCTATCAATGTGCATGTTAACATGTCAATGTGAACATTCACATTGTCAACAGGCCGGGTCGGGCCCGCCCATGGGCCGTTGTCGGGTTTCGGGCAGCTACGAGGCGCGCGCTAATTTTACACTCCTATCAATGTGAATGTTAACATGTTAATGTGAATATTCACATTGTCAACGGGCCGGGTTGGGCCAGCCCCGGGCTGCGGGCGGGCTTTTGGCCGCCCATGGGCCGCGCCCCAATTTTATACTCTTATCAATGTGAATGTTAACATGTCAATGTGAATATTCACATTGTCAACGGGTCGGACCGGGCCCGCCCCGGGTCGCCCATGGGCTGCGGGCGGGTTTCGCGCCGCCACGGTACGGGGGCTAATTTTACACTCCTATTAATGTGAATTTTAACATATCAATGTGAATATTCACATTATTAACGGGCCGGGCCCGCCCTGGTTCGTAGGCGGGTTTCGGGCCGCCCATGGGCCAATTTACATTCCTACAAATGTGAATTTTAAAATATGAATGTTCACATCATTAAATTGCTAATCATTGAAAAAATATTTATAAGGGTATCAAAATTAAATATAAGGGCATAAGTGTCCAAGAAAATAGTGTAAATCAAGAAAATGGACTTTATGGAATAAAACTATATATACATAGGACTAAATGGGTTAAAAAATTCTTTCATGGACTTCTTGGGTTAAAGCACTTCTAAATTGGACTTATCAATAAAAATCCCAAGACAAGAAGATCATATGTTAAGGCCTTGTGCTACCAAAACTTCTAAATTCAAAACAAATAAAATCATTTTAAGCTTTCTTGCATTATGAATTCTTGCATTCCTATTTTAAAGGATCTCATGTCTGGATTTGTCAAAAGAACAGATATACAACGTGACAGATTTCATGGAAGACCATCCTGGTGGTGAAGAGATTCTGTTGGCCGTCGCTGGTATATATTTTTAATTTTCTCTATAATACTTTTTCATTGTTAAATAAAAAATTAAAAAAAGAGTTTATTTTTTATTTTTGTTGTGTAATGTGTTGCAGGGACGGATGCAAGTGAAGACTTTGAGGATGCCGGTCATGGCAGTGCTGCAAGACTAATGCTAGATGAATTCTACGTTGGAGAGATCGATCCATCGACTTTGCCTAAAACAACATATTCAAATGCACCATCTAAGAACATCGAGGACAAGTCATCGGATTCCATCACCAAGTTCTTACCATTTTTCTTCGTCCCCATAGCCATCTTTGTTGTGGCTGTTGGCATTCACTTGTACACCTAACCAGCCCCTATTTATGGATTGAGTTTCAGGGTATGTGTACATGCAGTTTGATATGGTGGGATTGTGGAAAGTGTGCTTAACCACCAAATGTCATTACAATTTTCTAGTCTTAATTTCCTTTTCCATTATAAATATGAATTTACCTTTTTCAGAACAAAGAATGTTGTTGTTGTATTGTTTGTATTGACTATGGAGTTTGCCTCTTCTCTTTGTGATGCATGCTATTTGAGTGAAAATTCTGTCAAAGCATTGTATTTGTATGGACATATCCACATTTTTTACTCTGTTTTTTCTTCACTTGATATCAGACAAAGAGCTCAATATTAATAAATAAACGTAGAACTTATGTATTAGCGTCTGGCAGTAAGAAATTGGGCATGTGTCGCAATATTTTCATGTAAATCTTGTTGGCAAATAATAGTTTTTCGTCAATTTTAATTTGAAATTAAAGTGGGATCCAACCCTCGGTTGAGGTGAATTTAAGTGGTTTTATATTATCTTAAGTGAGAAGGTTATAATACAAAAATAATGAGTCGAATCATTGAGTTGTGAATGAGAATTGTCTTATAAAGTAAGCATTAATAAAGTTGGGCTTAAATTTGGATTTAGGCCTGGTTTGGCAAGTGGCTGTTTTAGCCTAAAAGTCAAAAAGTTACTAAAAAAATCAAAAAACCAACAATCTATACAAAAAAGTCAAAGATTCCATTTTTCTTTACTTTTTGCACATGTTTTCATAAAAAATCAAAAAGTCTTCCCAAACATACTAGCTTTTTTCTTTCATATTTTAACAAAAAAGTCAAAAAGTTACTAAAATAGCATATTCTCAAACGAGGCCTTAATCTTAATTTAGATTGGGCCTAAGCTTGTGCTTGTGTATGTACTAGGTTTGGTCTTCGTCTTAGACTTAAACTTAATCTTAATCTTGAGCTTGGGCCAAACTATGTCGTGTTGGGCTTAGTTTGTGCATGTGTTTTAGACTGAATTTGGATTGAGTTGTAACCTAATACCGTTATCTATTTTGCGATCCATCTAATTGGATTATTTAAATAGCAATAAATATATCTATCTATCTATACTATATATATAATCAAATGTAATGGTTTTGTCAAAAATCTATAAATATTCATTCCTAAATTCTCATAATTTTAAAATTATCTCTTTCCTACGTGGCAACCATTTTTTATTGTCTTTCGTGTTTTCTATTTTTCTCCATTTTCTATTTGTTTGATTAATTAAAATGAAAATTAATTTCATGGCTTATGGATAAAGATTTGAATTTCAAAATTCCTCCATATAGATAAACATATAAAAACTGATAAATAATTTATGAAAATTAATTTCATGGTATACAGATAAAGATAAAAATTAAATACTTAATTTCATAACTTAGAGATAATTTAAAATTTCTTCCCATAAATAAGCATATAAAAATTGATAAATAATTTATAAAAATTAATTTCATGCCCTACTGATAAAAATAAAGGTTAAAAAATTGATTTAAAAAAAAAATTACTGATAAAAATAAAGGTTAAAAAATTGATATAAAAAAAAAATTACTCATGTTTTTTGCCCTTCATTTTATACTTTAATTAATTTCATTATAAATAAACATATAAAAAAATCATAAATAATTTATGGAAATTTATTTCATGACATTTAGATAAAGAGAAAATTTTTAAAAATTATTTGAAAAATAATAATTTCATGACTTATAGATAAATAAACATATAAGAATTGATAAATAATTAATAAAAATTAATTCCATGGTCTACAGATAAAGATAAAGATTAACTAATTGATTTACAAAAAAAATTATAATAATAAAATTTAGATAAATATATGATTTGTTAATCCATATCTATCAAAAACATATCTATCTAAATCTTTATTTTGGTTTACTTATATTTTTTTTCTCCTTTTATCACATATTATCTTTTTTTATTTTGGGGATAAAGTTAGTTTACCCTTTTTTTAAAGCCCAATTTGTTCTCAATTCAAAAAATAGGTGAGCCATAATTTACTGTTTATTTAAAAAATCACGGTTCTAGTTTTAAACCAAACCAAATAATACCATTCATATTTGCAAATATATAAAAATTATTTATATATACCTAATGTCATAACCCTGTTGAGACAACTAAATTGAACAATGGTTTTTTTTTTTTTTTGGGGGGAAAAATTGAATTTTTTCTTTGACAATACTCAACTTTTAATTATAATTTGTAAATAATCATTCTCCATAACTTGAATAATACTTGCATAGTCTCTACAACATTTTAAAAAAAAAATCAAGATAAGAATTTCGTAGGATTATAAAAATTATATAAGAAAATAGTTTAATCCGTTTTATTTATAAAAAAAAATGATGACAGATTATTTGAATTGTATTTGAAGAAATATAACAAATGATGGCTTTAATCATTATATATCCAAAAAAAAAAAAATTTATATAGGTTACTCAACAACAAAATGGTCGAATATAACTAAAGTCATAGACATTGAATTAAATCATATGGGCTCTAAATTGATAATATAATCTAATAAATCAACTAATAATAACAGAGAGATATCAACAAATATGTAATATTTCTCTACCATCTTTGTATTATATTCATTAATTTCATATATCATATGAAAGTTTTATTTGTCTCAATCTTTCAATAAAATAAGCACCAAGAAAACAAATTTGATAAGAATTAGTTCTAAACTTTATTATTAAAAAAATAGAAATTTCAAGAGAAAAATTTAGAGATGGGATTGAAAAAATACTATAACAAATGACAATCTTATAAAAAAAATAAAAAGAAAAAACACATAGTAATGATCTAATGTAAACTATTTTTAAAAATTAAAAGAAAGAATATCAAATTATTATCTTGGATAAATATAGTGACGGAAAATAATTTTGTGAGATTTTTGTATTGCTTCTCCCATACAGCTTTCATTATTTAATTATTAATACTCTTCTTATTCATAGCCAACCATTCTTTTTTATATATATCTTTATCACTTGGTAGATAATAACAAATAATAAAATTATGAGGGGTAGGTTAAGAGGAGATAAGAAGTTACAGATAAGAGTATTTCACAAGATAAAAAATTCAAACAAAAAAAGATAATATGTGATAAAAGGAGAAAAAAAATATAAGTAAACCAAAATAAAGATTTAGATAGATATGTTTTGTTAGATATGGATTAACAAATCATATATTTATCTAAATTTTATTATTATAATTTTTTTTGTAAATCAATTAGTTAATCTTTATCTTTATCTGTAGACCATGGAATTAATTTTTATTAATTATTTATCAATTCTTATAGTTTATTTATCTATAAGTCATGAAATTATTATTTTTCAAATAATTTTTAAAAATTTTCTCTTTATCTAAATGTCATGAAATAAATTTCCATTAATTATTTATGATTTTTTTATATGTTTATTTATAATGAAATTAATTAAAGTATAAAATGAAGGGCAAAAAACATGAGTAATTTTTTTTTATATCAATTTTTTAACCTTTATTTTTATCAGTAATTTTTTTTTAAATCAATTTTTTAACCTTATTTTTATCAGTAGGGCATGAAATTAATTTTATAAATTATTTATCAATTTTTATATGCTTATTTAGGGAAGAAATTTTAAATTATCTCTAAGTTATGAAATTAAGTATTTAATTTTTATCTTTATCTGTATACCATGAAATTATTTTCATAAATTATTTATCAGTTTTTATATGTTTATCTATATGGAGGAATTTTGAAATTCAAATCTTTATCCATAAGCCATGAAATTAATTTTCATTTTAATTATCAAACAAATAGAAAATGGAGAAAAATAGAAAACACGAAAGACAATAAAAAATGGTTGCCACGTAGGAAAGAGATAATTTTAAAATTATGAGAATTTAGGAATGAATATTTATAGATTTTTGACAAAACCATTACATTTGATATATATATAGTATAGATAGATAGATATATTTATTGCTATTTAAATAATCCAATTAGATGGATCGCAAAATAGATAACGGTATTAGGTTACAACTCAATCCAAATTCAGTCTAAAACACATGCACAAACTAAGCCCAACACGACATAGTTTGGCCCAAGCTCAAGATTAAGATTAAGTTTAAGTCTAAGACCAAGACCAAACCTAGTACATACACAAGCACAAGCTTAGGCCCAATCTAAATTAAGATTAAGGCCTCGTTTGAGAATATGCTATTTTAGTAACTTTTTGACTTTTTTGTTAAAATATGAAAGAAAAAAAGCTAGTATGTTTGGGAAGACTTTTTGATTTTTTATGAAAACATGTGCAAAAAGTAAAGAAAAATGGAATCTTTGACTTTTTTGTATAGATTGTTGGTTTTTTGATTTTTTTAGTAACTTTTTGACTTTTAGGCTAAACAGCCACTTGCCAAACCAGGCCTAAATCCAAATTTAAGCCCAACTTTATTAATGCTTACTTTATAAGACAATTCTCATTCACAACTCAATATTCGACTCATTATTTTTGTATTATAACCTTCTCACTTAAGATAATATAAAACCACTTAAATTCACCTCAACCGAGGGTTGGATCCCACTTTAATTTCAAATTAAAATTGACGAAAAACTATTATTTGCCAACAAGATTTACATGAAAATATTGCGACACATGCCCAATTTCTTACTGCCAGACGCTAATACATAAGTTCTACGTTTATTTATAATATTGAGCTCTTTGTCTGATATCAAGTGAAGAAAAAACAGAGTAAAAATGTGGATATGTCCATACAAATACAATGCTTTGACAGAATTTTCACTCAAATAGCATGCATCACAAAGAGAAGAGGCAAACTCCATAGTCAATACAAACATACAACAACAACATTCTTTGTTCTGAAAAAGGTAAATTCATATTTATAAAGGAAAAGGAAATTAAGACTAGTAAATTGTAATGACATTTGGTAGTTAAGCACACTTTCCACAATCCCACCATATCAAACTGCATGTACACATACCCTGAAACTCAATCCATAAATAGGGGCTGGTTAGGTATACAAGTGAATGCCAACAGCCACAACAAAGATGGCTATGGGGACGAAGAAAAATGGTAAGAACTTGGTGATGGAATCCGATGACTTGTCCTCGATGTTCTTAGATGGTGCATTTGAATATGTTGTTTTAGGCAAAGTCGATGGATCGATCTCTCCAACGTAGAATTCATCTAGCATTAGTCTTGCAGCACTGCCATGACCGGCATCCTCAAAGTCTTCACTTGCATCCGTCCCTGCAACACATTACACAACAAAAATAAAAAATAAACTCTTTTTTTAATTTTTTATTTAACAATGAAAAAGTATTATAGAGAAAATTAAAAATATATACCAGCGACGGCCAACAGAATCTCTTCACACCAGGATGGTCTTCCATGAAATCTGTCACGTTGTATATCTGTTCTTTTGACAAATCCAGACATGAGA